GAAGGCAGAAGGGCAAGAAAGCACAAACAAAAGAGAGAGGAAAGGGTACTGAACTCATCCTTTTATTATGAACTCACTTCCATAATAAATAACCTGCTTCTGTGATAACAGCAGCAATCCATTCATAGAAGCAGGGCCCTCATGACCTAGTTACCTCTTAAAGGTCCCACATCTCAACACTATTGAATTGGGGACTAAGTTTCTAAAACATGAACTTTGGGGAACCCACTGAAACCATAACAATAACCTAAGACTCCTTACTCATAGTTGAATATTTTTGCTATATAACATTCTACATTTCCAGGCTTATTAACCCAGAAACATTATTAACCCAGTTACAAGCTCAGAAGGTAAATATTCACTGAACAACCTAAGTATTTAATTTAGTAACAGGTGAATTGAGAACTTGGAAAATTTCTTTTAATTAATTGTGACAACATATTAGCATATTTATTCAAATACATGAATATTTCTGCATTTACCACATTAATGAAAAGAGTCTTCATATAAAGTTCATTGAATAGCCATAAATTGAATAAGTTTGTGAACCCAGAGGGAAGAATGCCACAGTTGTTTTTTAGGTCTACATACATGCAAGCTAAGATAATAACAAAACTCATATCACTTACCATATCCACATTACAATTTATAAAGATAAAAATAAAACTGATTGGCTAGCTATATAGGAACACAACACAAAAACAACATAGAAACCTTCAAAGAAAAGTAGCTTTGAAGAAATCATAGTAAAATTTTCTGTTTTCCAAAAAGATAACTATTTGTAGGCATAAGTTATATGTCATGTGACAAACACTAGGATCTGAACATTATTTATTCCAACATTTCTAACTAATAATCCTTAATAAGAGATTAATTATTCAATCAGTTATGAACCAGATTCATTCTCCAGTAAAATATTTTTATAACTCAAAATTATAAATATATATTAAAAATTTTGGACTAAAGAGTTTTCTGATATCAATTAGACAAAGATTTTCTTTTATTTTTTCCTCTGGGCAGTAAAAAGCCACACCTTATGAATAGCAAATGAAGGTTAATAAAAGCTTCTACCTATAGAACTATTTCAGATAATAATCACAAAAGAAATGATAGAATTAGAGTACTATAATTCTGCAGCCCCTAACAATTGATGAATCAGAGTGATGATCCTGAGTGACTGTATCCTCACCATAAAAAATAAATACATGCTATGTATCTCCTTTTATTTATTTATTTATTTATTTATTTATTTATTTATTTATCATTTTGAGATGGAGTTTCGCTCTTGTTACCCAGGCTGGAGTGCAATGGTGCGGTCTCGGCTCACCGCAACCTCCGCCTCCTGGGTTCAGGCAATTCTCCTGCCTCAGCCTCCTGAGTAGCTGGGATTACAGGCACGCACCACCATGCCCAGCTAATTTTTTGTATTTTTAGTAGAGACAGGGTTTTACCATGTTAACCAGGATGGTCTCGATCTCTCGACCTCGTGATCCACCCGCCTCGGCTTCCCAAAGGGCTGGGATTACAGGCTTGAGCCACCGCACCTGGCCTATTTATTTGTTTATTTTTTCGGAGAGAGTCTTGTTCTATTGCCCAGGCTGGAGTGCAGTGGCACAATCCTGGCTTACTGCAACCTCCACCTCCTAGATTCAAGTGATTCTCCTGCCTCAGCTTCCTGAATAGCTGGGATTATAGGCATGCACCATCACATTCATCTAATTTTTTTATATTTTTGGTAGAGATAGGGTTTTACCATGTTGAACAGGCTGGTCTTGAACTCCTGACCACAAGTGATGCACCCACCTCGGCCTCCAAAAGTGCTGGGATTACAGGCATGAGCCAACATGCTCAGCCACTATGTATCTCCTAATGGAAATATACAGCATCATCTCTGGCGGTCTTGCCCACAGATGAATAAATAAATAAAGCTTAATCTGAACAAGCTTCTGCCTATAACTATAGACCATAGATTACGATGCTGAATGTCAGGTATATTGGGTTATTATTCTATTTTCTGTAATGTTCTATACAATTAATAATTTATATAAATGATTTATTATAAAAGACAGACTTTTAATTGGAAAACAAGTAAAATAAAGCAATTTTAATGAAATCTAAGTCAATAACTAGGTTCATAAAGAAGCTTTATTTCAGACAATACAAACAAAGTGTAGTCTAGCCCTGGGCACCTGCAAAATCTTCCAGGATCAAACATGTTTGGAAGTCCATTGTATGAAATGATGAAGGAAAAGTTTATCACTACATTAAATAAACTCTTACAACCATACAAGAAGATGGGAAGCTATGCAACCACTTTAGCAGGCTAGCTGTACTTGATGTAAAAACTAGATTATCATACTCCAAGGAAAGAACACTTGAGCCAAATTTACTCACATAGAGACACATATTCTAAATAAATTTATAGAATATCAAATATAGCAGTGAAAAATAAAGCGATGAAGAAGTAGAGCAATAGGCTGTGTCTAACAAATGCAAAGATCATATCATAGTAGGAAAAATGTGAATTGGAATTCACTATGTTAACAGAGAAAGAGAAAGCATTTGATCACATGCAGCAGTAAAGGAAAGCCACTGGTGATAATGGAACACCAATTCATGGTCATAAACTTTAGTATACTTACATTAGAATGGAATTTCCATATCATAAAGCAAATAGCAATCATGCTATTTGAAATGTGGCCAGCATTCTCAATAGTCCAGAACCAGATGCAGAGGTATGGTACCAATTCTGCTGGTCAAACACGGACTGGATTGCACAGCCATTATACAGGCATGCACATGAATACCAAGATAAAATTTACGAAAAATGAAAAGAAAGAGCTTCTCTAATTAAAGAATCCTCTAATGATCCTCTAATTAAAAATTCTAAAGAAATCAGCTCACAAAATATTCAAACATATAAAGAACATCAGTAAACTTGTGTAAAAAATCACTGTAGTAAAATCAGAAATCTAGCCACAACTAGAAACAAACAACTAATTAGAAAATATAACAATGGGGCAGGGGGTGGGGGATGGAGAGCATCAGGAATATGAATGCTAGCTAATGAATGCTGGACTTAATACCTAGGTGATGGGATGATCTGTGCAGCAAACCATCATGGCACATGTTTACCTATGTGACAAACCTGCACATCCTGCACATGTACCCCAGAACTTAAAAGTTGAAAAAAAGAGAAAATGTAATGGCAATCCCATTAAAAAGTTGGCAAAGGATGTGAACAAACACTTTTCAAAAGAAGATACACATATGGCCAACAGGCATATGAAAAAAAGTGCAACATCACTTATCAAATGCAAATCAAAATCACAAGAGATACCACCTCACAACAAATAACTAATTAGAAAATGTAACAATGTAGAAAATAGAAAGACTATTATCAAAAAGTCAAAAAAATAACAGGTGCTGGAGAAGTTGTGGAGGAAAAGGAATGCTTACACACCATTGGTGGGAGTATGAATTAGTTAAACTATTTTGGAAAGCAGTGTGGTGATTCCTCAAAGAGCTGAAAACAAAGCTACCATTCTACCCAGCAATCCTACGACTGAACATATACCCAAAGGAATATAAATTATTCTATCATAAAGGTACATGCACACATATGTTTATTGCAGTACTAATCAAGACAGCAAATGTATAGAATCAACCTAAATGTCTATCAGAAGTAGACTGGATAACAAAAATGTGGCACATATACATCATGGAATACTATGCAGCCATAAAAAATGTCATACCTTTTCAGAAACATGGATGGAGCTGGAGGCCATTATTCTTAGCAAACTAACATAAGAACAGAAAACCAAATACCACATGTTCTCACTTATAAGTAGGAGCTAAATGATGGGAACATAAGGACACAGAGGGGAACAATAGACACTGGGGACTTTTGGAAGGTGGAGGGTGAGAGAAAGGAGAGGATCAGGAAAAATAACTAATAGGTACTAGACTTAATACCTGGGTGATAATATAATCTGTGTAACGAACCCACATGACATGAGTTTACCTACATAACAAACCTGCACATATACTCTTGTACTTAAAATAAAGGCTTTAAAAAAGAAGCCTCAAGGAATCTTTTAAAAACATTTGTGCTACCTCAAGACTTTGTCAATGAAATTCACTGTGAACTGGATTAGGATCTTATGTGAGGGGCAGAATTAAAACTTTTCAGGAATTCAAAGCTGACTCAGCCAGCGTAGTAGAAATAAAACAAAAGTAATATGCAAAGCCTTAAATTGAAAGTAATGGTTTCAAATAAAAAAGGATCCTAGCTACTCCAGATTTCCTGTGAGAAGTTATTTTCTGGATTCCTTTTAGTGCCTGAATGAAAGAATCTTTGATGTTTCTATCATCCTCATTTTTCTCCTAATGTACCATCCTGAAAATAATCTATTCTAATAAATTTGAGAGGGATTTCAAAATAAGAAAATATAATGAAAAAATACCACCAAAAGATCAGGAACATTCAGAATATACCTAAAAAGAACATTAACAAAAACATACACAGTCTGTCAAAGCAAATACAAAAATTTGCTGATAGAATTCGGTAGATGCCTAAGTAGAGCAATATAATATGTTTATACATGGTGAATACAATATTGTACAGATACTAATTATGTTTATTTACCAATTTAGTACCTTACTTGATGGACTCAAGTCAGCAGAGAAGTGGCCCAGCACCTATAAAAAGTCAAGATTAAGACACCGAGTGATAACTGAGGGCATTACCTACTCAAGAAGAGGGACCCCTGACAGAGCCTCCCCCCTCCTGTCAATCTTAGGAGGCTCCAGGCATAACTGCTGGGCTCAGAATCGACCTTGCTTCCTACTCTGGATTCAGGAAAATGATCCTTTTTCTGAGACTGACTGATTCAGCTTAGCAAAGAGAGAAGTCCCAGGGCCTGCAAAGTCAATGAAAGAAATATATGTAGCCCTTTAAGAACTGCCCCTCCCCTGGAACATAGAACCACCACGCTGGGAGCACAAGGTGGGCGTGGCCAGAAGTGTTTCCGTTGACCTTACTTTCACGTCATCAAGCTGTTACGGGTGACGCCTTGGTCTGAAAGATGTGGCCAGAAAAATAAATATCGGGAACCGCCAGGTATCAAGGTGTGTATTATTGTTACGACCTTTCAGACACACTCTTTTCACAACAGAGGCTGCCTTACAGAAACCCATCCTGCTCTGCTCCGTCCTACCCACACTGTCAATTCTCTGTGTTCCAAAGCACAGCCGTTAGGCCTAACGCCGTTACTTCCTGTTGGGAATCTGTGGGATGGGAAGCCATGGTCTAAAGGGAGGCAGCCTCAAGTCAACAGAGGGAGGACCCAAAGGACTGGTAAGGAATAAAATATTCTGAGTTAGAACTGATGTGACAAACCCCCACAGAACAGAGTCCCACCCCGCTCCTGCCTTAGGGGTTTCTAAAGCAATACCCTCAAGAGAACGAGCAGAGGTGGCCATTCTTGGAGCCAGGGTAGATTCTCTCTACCAAGATTGTGAACACTATCTCATCTTCCATCTTCTAGGGTGACCTCTTCATCAACCCAACTGCCTGCACTATTGTCTGTAGTCCCTGACAAGAGTAATTATGCCTCGAGGTCATAAAAGTAAGCTCCGTGCTCGTGAGAAACGCCGCCAGGCTCATTGTGAGAATCAGGATCTGGGAACTACTCAGGCCACAGTGGCAGAAGGAGAATTGCCCTCCTCTGCCTGTCATCTCGTTGGTGATAGATCCCAGAATTTGCCTGCTACTGAGACACCTAGCATCCCCGAGGCACTTCAGGGAGCCCCATCCACCAGTAATACTATTGTACCTGTTTCATGCACCAGTTCAACTGAAGGTGCCAGCAGCCAAGATGAGAAAAGTCGACATTTCGCAAGTGTGGCTGAAGCCTGGAAAAAAGATCCCTTAAATAGGAAAGTAGTTTTGCTGGTGAATTTCTTGCTTCAGAAGTATCAAAACAAAGAGCCAATTACAAAGGGAGACATGATTAAGTTTGTTATCAAAAAGGACAAGTGTCACTTCAATGAGATCCTCAAGAGAGCTGCTCAGCATATGGAGCTAGCATTTGGTGTTGATTTGAAGGAAGTGGATCCTATCAGGCACTCCTATGCCCTTTTCAGCAAACTAGACCTCAGCTATGATGAAACAACCAGTGATGAAGAAAACATTCCCAAGACTGGTCTACTGATGGTTGCACTCAGTGTGATCTTCATGAATGGCAACCGTGCCCCAGAAGAGGCAATCTGGGAAGTGCTGAAAGTGATGGGTGTATTTCCTGATATGGAGCACTTCATGTATGGGGATCCCAGGAAAGTCATCACCAAAGATCTGGTGCAGCTAAAGTACCTGGAGTGCCAGCAAGTGCCCAACAGTGATCCTCCACGCTATGAATTCCTGTGGGGTCCAAGAGCTCATGCTGAAACTAGCAAGATGAAAGTTCTGAAGTTTTTAGCCAACATGTATGATACCGTCCCTACTGCCTTCCCAACCTGCTATGAAGAGGCTTTGCGAGATGAGGAAGAGAGAGCCCAAGCCAGAGCTGCAGCCAGGGCTCATACTGCTGCCATGGCCAGAGCACGTTCCAGAACCACGTCTAGCAGCTTCTCCCATGCTAAGTGAAAGCTGAGGCTGGTTCTTCACTTTTTGGCCAAAAAGGTCTGTCAATGTTCTAATAGTGGAGGAGCACGGTGGGGCTGGAAGAAAGAAATGTATGTCATCTTTGTGTTCCTATTGTATATTGATAACTAGAGTTTTACTTTTCCTTCTTTTTTTCCCTAGGTTATATTTCAAATGTTGAAGTCTGAAGAAAATTGTTTTATTTGTGGAAGAAAAGAGCAATCAACATTCTAAGTAGAGAATGACCAGGGTGGGTCTGGAGGGAACACAGCATGTATCATTTTGTGTTAATATTCTATAATAATTGGAGTGGTACCTTTCTTTTTGGTGTTATATTTCAAATCCTGTTTCTTTCAGTAGAAGTTATAGATAACTTCAGAATCGAAATCTATTAATTATTTGGGTTACGTGTGTATTGCTATTTAAGAGTGGGAGCTTTATTGTTCTGTAAAACAAATTGGGAAACCTTCTTTCATATTTAATGAGCCAGAACAAGAAAACACAGTAATGGAATAGGTATTTCTTTTAAAAATATGAAATGATTTAGCAGTAAAATTTTGGAGATCAAAACATAGGTGAAAACGAGTAAAACTTTTCAGTTCTTGGTTTTCTTTATCCATTTTAGTCTGTTATATAAAAATAAAAGAGACATGTCTGGATTGGCTTAGCTTACTGAAGAAGGTAAGAAAAAATAAAATGTTTACGAACTAGCATCTATGCTTCCCGACTCATTCATTCCTCCAATATTAATTAAACATCTGTTTTTTTGAAAGTAATTTTGTTAGAAATGGGAATACTAGGATACAAAACACTCACCCCTGCTTAGACTTTTACAATTAATGAACAGTAATAATGTATGGAAGATGGTGAAATACTTCTATGACCTAAATGACAAGATGAGGGAGTAAGGGAGGTAAGGAGTTAGAGAGGGGTTTGGGAAAAGTGCTGGAGTATATCCCGCTGAAAATGATAAGGTGCAAATTCTCTGAAGAAAAGATCTTTTAGACTTTTGGAAACTGTAAGTCCCTCTGTGAGATATAGTTTTAATTTAAGCTGGGTGGTGGGCTAGATGAAGCTGTGGGACTGGAGAGCAGAGACCAGGCACTTGGATGGTATGTTTCATTGTTGAAGGAAAAAACCCTAGAGTGAAAAAACTTCCACTTAAGAGTTACCTTGGTGACATCAATAATCTAGAAGAAAACCTCTTGGGGCAGAAGTGGATAGTGTCCTGTGCTCTTGTTCACATTCAATTGAGCACATAGCACAGTCTAGTTATTTATACACAGCATCTCCAGGGAATTTCTGAGAAATAAAGGTGAAACAGCCTTGAAGTGGGGTGCTGAAAAGCTACTGTATTGACTCCTATGCTCTGAACTGAGAGAGCCTGATCCTAGTATTTAAAAGGACATTTTTTTTGAGACAGGGTTTGGCTCTTTTTTCCAGGCTGGAGTGCAGTGGTGCAATCATGGCTCACTACAGTCTCAACTTCCCAGGCTCAAAGAACCCTCCAACTTTACCCTATCAAGAAGCTGGGACTAGAATCACACACCACCCTACCCAGCTAATTTTTTGTATTTTTTGTAGAGACAGGGTTTCACCATGTTGCCAAGGCTGGCCTTGAACTCCTGACCTCAAGTGATCCACCCACCTCAACCTGCCAAACTACCGGGATTACAGGTGTGAGCCACGGACTCATCTTAAAGGGATATTTTAATTAAGTTATGTTCAGTGTAATTTGGCAAACTCTAAGGGAGAACATATTTGCTGATGAAGAAATGAATGAAAATAAGGATTGTTTCGGTGGAATAGCACCCGGGAGGGAAGTTGTTGGTCCTTGACACAAATTCTAGGACTTTATGTTTCAGTCAACTGGGGAAGACTCCCTATGTGGAAATTAAGTAACTTATATTCAAATGGGGAAATTTTATTTAGTTTTACATGCTAAATACATAGTGGGCTAATTTGATATTAATTGTCCTAGAAGGCTGCATATTTTCCTGAATTAACAAAAAATAAATCTCCTCAGAGGGAAGGGTGATATCATCTGTGGTAAAAATAATATGATAACTACCATTCTTTAAAGATCCAATATTTTCCATAATTCTGCTAAGTGCTTCATATCCATTACATAGATTCCAACAGTGCTACAAGTTAGGGCTTATCAGACATTATTTGCCAAACTTATAATTTTACGCTTACATGGCTGATAGGTGACAGACCTCAGACTAGACCTCTGGTCTAATGTGGCCGGAATTATTCTAGAGCTCACGTTTTTTCACTCCTCCCAATCGGAGGCAGATCTTCTGTCTAATTCACTAGTCTTTTCACAACTGCAAAATCTATTACAATTAAAAATAAAGGACTCCAGGCTTCCCAGGCTGGTGCCTGAGTCCCATGTCCCTCGCTCCCCACCCTCCTGTATCCCTCTTCTCCCTCGCACCCAGCCCAGTGGCTCTTCTTCCCTCTGTCCCTTTCCCCCCACCCTACTTCCCCTGCCACCGCACTCCTGCTGCCTCCCTCAGCCCAGCCGGCTGTGCCAACATTTGCGGTGGCCCTGCACCTGACCCTCCACCCAGTCTTCTGCCTGCCCCACCGTGATGGAGGTGCCCCAGCTGGAGCCTGCACCAAGCTTGGCTTTCAGTCTAGCAGGCGTGCATTGTGACGCCCAGAATCCTGGCCACCTCCTTGGCCTCCTACTGGGATCTCATGGCCTCCTGGGGTCCCTGTGTGCATGGTCCCTTCCTTGCTAGTCACTACCCTCGCCCAGACCATGTACGACCTCACTGAGCTTGGCAGCCAAATGCCGAAGAGTCAGGGAGGGACCTTGCTCTTCTGCAGCCACAGCTGGCTGCTGTGCCTATCCTTGTCTGGATAGGTATCTGACTGGCTGATGTGCCTATCCTTGTCTGGATAGGTATCTGAATCCTCCCTGTCATCTGAATCCTCCGAATCTTCTGATACAGGTCTCTGCATGGATTCCACCAGCCCTATAGACCCCCAGATGATGGAGCAGACATTAAAACAGGTAATCTGGGCAGCCAGCCAGGTCATTCAAAACGAGCAGTTTGCCATCAGATGCTGCCAGTCTATGCCGGTGGGGTGGCTGGGCCACAGCCCCATGCTTCAGAACATCATCAACTCCCAGGTGTCCAATGATAGGAGAAAGAGTAAGGTGGGCAGTGGAGCTGCCAGCAGCTCTCGGGGAGAGAAGGAGAACGATGGATTTGTGTTCAAGATGCCATGGAAGCCCACACATCCCAGCTCTGCCCGTGCTCTGGCAGAGTGGGCCAGCCACAGGGAATCCTTTGGCCAGAAGTCCAGCTCACCCCAGACCAGATGTGTCTCACTCCTGAGCAGAAGATGAAAATGGAGGAACTCAGCCCCCTGGCCCTAGGTTGCTTCTCTCTGACTCCTGCAAAGGGGATATCAAAGAAGATGATGGCTTTGTGAACATCCTAGAGAGTGACTTAAAGGGTGATGATGTAGTACCCCCAGGCATGGAGAGTCTCATTAGCACCCCATTGGTCAGTACCTTGGAAAAGGAAGAGAAGCAGGGTCTTGGCATGTACAGTATGTGCCAGTGGCTCTTCTGCTGTCTGTCCTTGCCCTGCAGTGTGATCTGGCCCATCCTCAAGAGGCTGGAGCAGCCCCAGGACAGGGACACGCCCATGCAGAATAAGCAGAGGTGAAACATGACCCATCTAGAGGAGCTGCAAGAGCCTGAGGAATCTAAAGCCCAAGTCCTTCACTCAAAATCACTGTGTCATGATGAGATCGAGAACCTCCTGGACAGTGACCAGTGAGAGCTGATAGGAGATTACTCTCAGGCCTTCCTCCTACAGACTGTTGATCGAAAGCACCAAGACCTCAAGTACGTCTCACCAGAAATGATGGTGGCCCTGTTGATGGGCAAGTTCAGCAACATCATGGATAAATTTGTGATTGTGGACTGCAGATACCCCTATGAATATGAAGGCGGGCATATCAAGACTGCTGTGAACTTGCTTCTGGAACGCAACATCTAGAGCTTCCTGCTACAGACCCCTATCACACCCTGTAACCTGGGCAAGAGAGTCATTCTCATTTTCCACTGTAAATTCTCACTTGAGTGCAAGCCCCACATGTGCCATTTCATCAGGGAACGAGACCGTGCTGACAATGACTACCCCAGCTTCTACCATCCCAAGATGTATATCCTGAAAGGCAGCTAGGAGTTATTCCCTCAGCATCCAAACTTCTATGACTCCCAGGACCACCGGCCCATGAGCCACAAGGCCTTCAAGGATGAGCTAAAGACATTCCTCCTCAAGATATGCATCTGGCCTGGAGAGTAGGGCTGCTGGGAGCTCTGCCTCTGGCTGCAGGACCAGTGAGGGGCCTGCATCAGTCCTGCTACCTCTGTTGCTTTTGAGGCCTGGAGCCAGCTGCCCTATGGACCTGCCAGGCTGAGGACCTGCTGAAGGTCTCAGGTGCTGACTACGGGAATGATGGTGTGGGTGTTCTGTCTGCCCCAGCTCTGATTCCCATGTCATCCCATCATTTTTCATAACTTGGTGTCCTGCCCCCACCCCAGAAGAGCCCAGTCTGTTGAGTTAGTTAAGTTGAGTTAATGCCAGCTTAAAGGCAGTATTTTGTGTCCTCCAGGAGCTTCTTGCTTCCTTGTTAGGGTTAACCCTTCATTTTCCTGTGTCCTGAAAAGCTTGTGTGTGTGTGTGTGTGTGTGTGTGTGTGTGTGTGTGTGTGTGTGTCAGCTGAGGCTGGGGGAGAGCCATAGTCCCTGAGGATGGGTCAAAGCTAAACTCCTTCCTGGCCTGGGAGCCAGCTCTCTGTCCTGTGTACTTCCTGGGACAGGACTGCCCCTAACATCTGTAGGAATCATAGTATGTCTCCCATGTTGCCCCTTACTCTTTTCCTCTTTCCTGTCCTGCCATAAGAGCACCCTTAAACAGAAGCTCTTACTCTTTCTTTTTCAGTGTTACTTGTGTGTATGGTTTATTTGACTTTATACCCATCTCAGGATAGTTTCATAGACTGTTTAGGTTTCCATGTCAAATATCAGTTGCCCACCTGGTCAGTTTTGTTGCCCCAGAAAGGGATGTTATTATCTTTAGGCGCTCCCAGGGCCAGAGCTAAGACATGAATCATGAGCCTGCTGAAAGCTCAGCCCCTACTACTGTGAACCCTGGGGACTGACTGCTCAGAACTTGCTGCTGTCTTGTTGCAGATGGATGGAAGTTTGGATGGATGGATGGGTGGATGGCCATGGATGAGCAGTGCCTTGCACACCCAGACTGGGTGGGAGCACCTCGATGAGCATGACAGCCTGTAGCAGGAATATATGTGTGTCTATGAGGACAAAAATCTTTACACTTAGGGTTTGGAATTATTCAAGAGGAAATGTCACAGAAGCAGCTAAACCAAGGACTGAGCACCCTCTGGATTCTGAATCTCAAGATGGGGGCAGGGCTATGCTTGAAATACGTGCTGAGACATCTGTTAGGCCTTGGTGCAATAAAGCACTGAGCAAGTTGAAAAAAATTAAAAAATAAATAAAGGACTCTGGCCGAAGTACTAAAAGCAGGCCTGTATTAGGTTGTTCTCACATTGCTATTATGAAATATCTCAGACTGTGTAATTTATAAAGAAAATAGATTTAATTGGCTCATGGTTCTATAGGCTATACAGGAAGCATGGCAGTATGTGCTTCTGGGG